AATCTGGACCCTCCTCTGTGGACTTCAAGGACCTGGACCTCTGGAACATTCACAGTCTGAAGGTAGAACTCTGGTCAGTGGATAAAGGTGCTGCAGAACCAGAACCAGCTGATTCTGAGGAGGTCTGAGGGAAGGAAGTGGTTGATTTGTGATGGAATGACTTCTGTAAAATAAAGGAATGTTTCAGATTCTGTCGTCCTGTTACGGCGTATCGGTGCCGTTGACCAGCATCTGCATGAACTCTGATTTGTTGTTCTTCCACTGAAGCAGCTTTCAGTCGAAACTCAGGTGGATTGAATCGACTCATTAGAGGTTTGTTTGACTAAATCTGCCTGCAGCTGTTGTTCATCTGTTGATTGTTCATTAAGTTTGTGTTGAGATGTGCAAAGACGTTGTGGCATCAGTGAAAGTGTTGTTCTGTGCAAAGAGGAGTTTCTCAGCGTCAGATCACGGCTGGACTGAAGTTTTCTCGGAGCCCAGTGATGCAGGTTTGCATCTTTGTGGAGAAGATTCATTCTGCAGCAGGACAAAGAGCCAAAGCTTTGATTTGAGGACTAAGAATGCTGTCGTGGACTCTCCTGCACAGTCACCTGACCTCAGACCCACTTAACATTCCTGAGAGCACCGGGGGAAACTTCCCTGATATCACAAGAAGCTCTCTGGGACTGAAGACTGAGTTACTCACTTCCTCCCCGCAGTGAAAACAAACCGCCGACGCCGGCCAAAAATGCAGGAAATGTAACATTCAGTCCTGCTGAGCTTGTCATCACCGTGGCTGAAAGTCGTGAACCGCACATCTCAGAACAGCAGAAGGAGAAGATTTCTTTTCACGAGGTTCTATCTGGCAGAACATCTCCAGAATGAAGGCGTCTCCAGCAGAAGGCGAGTTCAGGGACGGAGCCACTGGAGCTCAAACACTGAGTTCAGTGCAGAAAACGCTGAGTTCAAGGTATGATGCTGCACTTCACAGGTCCTCCTCACACCGAGCTGCATTCTACCTTCCTGTACATTCAGATAAGATGATTTAGGCTGACCGCAGAAGCCTTCAACCAACAGTTTATGATATGATAGTTATGACAGTCATAAAACGGAATTAATATGCAGCTGCAAGTTGTTGTTTTGTGAGATCATGTTGGAAAATATTAGTGATCAGGTTTGAACGAACTCGTGGAGCGAATGCAGCTCAGAAGGAGAAAGAAATGAAGCACAGATGTTTATCAGATGTGCACATCTTTGTTGCTCCTGCTCAGTCATGAAGCGTTTAATGTAGTTTATTTCAAACAAAGTTCTTTTCTCTGGAAGTGAAGACTGAAGTGAAAAAAGTACCGATAAACCACAACGACCCAGTGCTCCCCAAGTCCAGCCCAAATGAAGCTTATTGCAGATTCGTTCACGTCTAAGTGAATTTGCCAAGAACAAGAAATGAAAACGACACATTTGAGGTTTGGTTCAGTTTGTCCAAGAGAAAACACAGAAGTTTATTCCTCAGCTGTGAGTCATCCTGCTCAGTAAATAACTCGGTCACAACTTGTTCGTTTAAAGGATCGTCACAAATGTTTGTCTTGAGGTGAAAAAATTAACCAGCTCATTAATCTGCAGGTACCTGGATAACTAATTAGTCATGTTACAAGAAAAAATACCAAATACGCTCTTGTTCCAGCTTTTAAATGGAAGTTTTTGCTTCTATCTCAGTTCATGTGTTCATGCAGAAAAACTAAAATACAAAAAATAGTATCAGTCAGCACATTTTTCTGAACTTAAATATCGTTGCTGGTATCCGCCTCAATTTATAGAATCAGTTCAGCTCATATTTCCAACTTCTTCAGTCTGTGACCGCTTAAATGGAATCAGTGCCACCGTGTGATTCCTCGTCAGGTTGTGACAAGTTCAAACAAAAACTCAGATCTTTCCTTCGAAGGATTTTCAGAACCTTTAATAGTTCAAAGTGTTCACTGAAAACATCCCCAGAGGACATGTCTCAGGCTGTCTTCAAATCTGAGGGAAACAAAACTCAAAAGACTTATTGCCTCCAAGTATTTTGGGGTTCGTCTGAATCCTCCACTGGCCTCATCCAGGTGAGTCTGTGTCCTTTTATTAAACCAAGAACTTATTTAGTTTTCTTTGCGTACTCTTTCCTGCCTCCCCCTTCACTGGCGAAGTTGCGGACACGGTGGATCTTGGCGAGCTGGTTCTGTATGGTCTTCATGATGTCCATGTGGTCAGGGATGTGGACGTAGCGGACGTTCCTGCCGGTGACGAACAGGTCCTGCAGCTGGGTCAGCTGGCCCCGCCGGTCCCGGTACAGGACATCCGCCAAACGTACATTCATGAAGGCGTCCACGCTGACCACGCGTCCCCGAGCCGTGCTCTCGTTCCTCAGGTCCACGGTGGTCACTTCCCCCTGCAGGCCCTGCAGCAGGATCACCATGCTGTTCTCCGCGATGGTCCGCTCACGGATCGAGCTGAACACTTCGACCGGCGCCGGGCCTGACGCCGAAGATTCCGCCCCCTCAGACTCCATCGACACTGATGTCAGGAGGTGGCCTGCAGGTAGGCAGAACATTATCATTATTATTTAATGTGCGTTATGTTGATTGTGAATGTTTACAGCTTGTTGGTCTTTGTTGGTCTGTAGCACAGAACGGTCCGACTACCAACGTCTGACATCAGCAGAATCTGATGTGTTGCAAGTATGACAAGACAAGGTTCCAGTTTCAAGATATTTTGACATATTAGTGATATGGACTCATTGGTAGGAGCATAAAAACTGGCGTGTGCAGAGGTCTACATGTTAATATATGTGCAGCTGTTTCTCTGCTGTCTTCATGCTGAAGCTCAGCAACATGTGTGCTGTAGGGGTTCTATTACTGGAGATATTAAACCCTTGAAATGTCTTCCATTGATATGAGGGTAAAAATACAAAAATCCCCAGGTCTGAAAACACATAGGTTTGTCAAGGTTCAACCAAAACATTTTACAGAACTTAAATTAATAACTCTGAACAGATTCTGAAGACAAACCAGAAACACATTTAATTGAATTCTGTCTGATCTGACTGACCCACAAACTGGAACTTAGAAACAAACATATCTACTACACATATATCTACACTTATTATTACTGATTTTTAAAAAGCAGTCACTGCATTAATCCAAACATCTTGTTAGAGCTGCTGTCTGTGTGACTGTAGACGTAGTACATGTAGCTGTAAAATTAGCCCAAACATGAAGACTGTACACGCAAACATACTCAGCATTAACATGGGGAATACTACAGAGAACACAGCTAATACAATTTATGCATCTTTCCACAAAGACTAACTTGAGCGAAGTAACTATGAGGCAGAAAACTTCCCAGGTCTGGTTCTTCCTGTCGGTGTCTGCTAACTCTGAAGTAGCAAACTGCAGCGTTAGCTTTAGCAGCGGCTAAACAAGGAGCGACGCAGCCTGAAGAAAGCTCAAACTACACGCTTAGTCCTAAAAGTAGTTTATAACGTTCACCTGAATCCGTTTAAAAGTTATTTCATGTCAGAATCTCTCAGCAAACATCAGCTGCAGCAGCAGCAGAACAACCGCTCAGATGTCAACAAGTTGGTTTTCCCGCATCGCGACGACGCATGCGCAGCAGCCTGATGACGTTTCCCTCTACCTCTCGTTTTTTTCCCGCAACTTTATTAAAACCAGTGACAGTTACAATACAAAGTAAAATAGAACAGCGAAGAGTGAAAAACTGAGCTGAAATACAGACATAAAAAATACGTATATATAGAACTACAAATAAATACACATTCATACTATTGTAGGGTCTTTACTGTCATAGTTAAGGTAGTATTTCAGATAAAATTATATTTTATGGGATTTTGTAGGGTTTTAGCCTTAATTAGGGTCCGAGCACACCAGTGCAAGGACGTTATTGAAACCCTTGTGATTATTATTATTATTTTACCGACTTTTGAAATGCGTTTTTGAGGGCCTAAACATGCTCGCCACGCACATCAGGTCTGGCGAAAAATTTGATATTTTAATGGACTTGGACATGTCACTGCCAAATTTCACAGGATGTAGTTGTTTGCATGTACTTTTTTTTTTCTTTCCTTTTTTAAGTCCCAAAGCAAGTACTAGACTAATTATATTTGGTTCCGTGAGTATGAAAGGTAGCCAAAATCCTAATTAATGATAATGTAGTGCTTGAACTTATTTACATAATGGGCATGACTGCACATGTTCAAAGAGAAAAATATAAAATCAGCAATATCAGACCAAAGTGAGTTTACATGAGAGAATTTCCTAAACAATGTCAGTTTAGTTGGTTAATATGAGGCTTTTTCCAGTGAGGGATTTTCTCAGGTTATTTTAAATTAACAGATCTTTCTGAAATAATGTGTGGACGTTCTATTTTATTTTTGTTTTTTAATGTTTATTTTTTCTCCTGTACTTCAAATTTGGTCAGTGGCAGGATTAGCTGGATCGGATCAAACCAAGTCGAATCCAGTTTGTTGTCATGTTGCTGTTCATACACAGTAGTACAGGCAAGATGAGAGAGTGTTTCTTCAGGATCCAATCATTTAAAGCAATTTAAATAAAGAAGTGTTTGCATATCTGGATCAGCAGTTCAGCATTCTGACAGCTGGTGGCATGAAGCTGTTGATCAGTCTGGAGGTTCTTCCTGTAACGCTCCGGAAACGTTTGCTGATGGCAGCAGTTCAAACAGTTTCTGGAGAGGCTGTGAGGAGTCCCTGACAATGTTCAGGGTCCTGCTCCTGCAGCCGCTCTGGAAAAGTTCTTGGACAGAGGGGGGAGGGGAAACTCCGATGACCCTCTCAGCTCCTCTAACTATCCTCTGCAGGGCTTTTCTGTCTGACACACTGCAGCTGGAGGATCATATTTGAAAAAAATAAGGAGCAAATTTGTGTTCAAAGATGGGACTTGTCATGACAGCGTTACGCACATTAACTCAGGAGGGAGAATTCAAGAGAGTAATAAAAATAAACATCTGAAGAGATTATCACAGTGATGAATATTCTGATTGAATTAGACAATTAGATAAATACTAAAACTCTCTCTAAATGACACCGGGTTCTTCATAAACAGGTCAGAATTTCAGGTATATTAAAGCAAAACAGGGAAAAGAGCTAAACATGGAGCTAACAGAGGAGGATTCTGTGTGGGGGAACATCACTTCTTTTTTACACCTTATTTTAAAAGTGGAGACAGTGTGGACCATGGATGCTAATCACTCCCACATATTTTGCACATGTGGAAAAAAAAAAACAAGTATTTTGGGATAATGTATTCCTAACACTGAGGAAGACCCAGAGCTACAAAATCCATAAAGATACCAGAGTATTTGGTGACATACAAAAAGATGTTGTTGACAAAAATCCATGTTTCATGATTTTATGAGTTTCATTGTTTTTTTTTTTTGTATAAAAATAATGTCTCTACAATATGTACAATATATGCAATAAACAATTCAATTCTATTTCTTGTGTAGCGCAGTTTGCAACAGGCTATATTCATACCAAACAAGAGAACCGACACAGTGTTTAGTTTCCTTAAGACAAAGACTACGGCGCCATCTGCAGGCTGCAGCACAAAATAAACTTGTCCTGCTTCAGGTAGGATTTCCCTTAAACACAACGATCTATTTCTAATCTTCCTGAATGCTGCAGAGGCCAAAAACATGTTTCCACTGCGTATGAATCCCTCCAGCTGTTAACATCTGTTATCGGTGTGAATGATACAGAAAAGTATCTCAAAATTTTACAAAATCTCTCGTACAGCAGCGTCGCAGTGAAAACAGCAACACACAGAACACAGTGGCTGCAAAATATATAACAGACTTAAAATAATTTAAAGAAATACATAAGACAAAACCAATCACATAAAATAACAGCAATACGTAGAACATCCAAATTCTTTAATACGGACGAGAGATAAATAAAATATTTGTCATGCATCAGAGTAATATAAAACTTTATTTTTTTAGCACCATTAGTACAAGAGTTGCAGCTCAAAGTTCAAATATATTTGCCATTGAGAATGTGTTTTAATAATATATTGTCATTCTTTAAAAATGTGGGAAATCCGATCATTTATCCCTCATATTTACTTGTTCACTGTATAACAGAAAAGTAAATACTGTCTTGAAAATCATTCCTGATCTTTACATATGGCTGCAAACACCAGTTATTATTATTATTACCATTATTCTGTACATGAACTTTTTCTTTAGTCATTGAACTGTTTTGATTCCTAAATGTCAATAAATTGTAAGAAAAGAAAAAAATCTTTCCCACAATCCAAAGTGATGTCTTGAAATGTCTCGTTTTTATTTGCAAAACCCAAATCAGTTCAGTTTACCATCACGTCTGATGAAGGATCAAATCTTCATTTTCAAGAAGCTGCAAACATCGTGTTTTTTGACTTTTTTTCCCACAAACATGAGAAAAACAATAATTTAATGATCGAAACAGCTACATATTGATTTTCTGTTGATAGATAAATCGATCAAATTGACTTCAGCAGTTTGTTGGCTGCATTTTAAAATTATTGTTATTTTATTTATTACATCTGTTTTAAATAAAGACGACGTTTCCCCCAAAATACTTGGATGTATGAAGCTGAATAACAGGAAAAATAAATAGCTTCCCTGCATCCTGCTGAGAGTTATTGCTGATTTAATATTAAAGCATTTAAAAACATAAACCAGCAGCAACATAAAAATTCCTGGTTTACTAAATAACGTGGTTACGTAGAACTGAGTGGCTCAAACACAGCAGGTCTGGTCATGGTGCTTTTCAAACATAGAACACTAGTTTTCTCTGATGTGTACATGTTTGTATATTTATCTGTTGCTCTATTTGACTTAAGATATGAGTAAACATTGAAAACTGCATATTTGAGACTGAACAGAAGCTCACAGTGAGATGACATGAAGCTGAGGTTATCCGACCTTCAGGCCTTAAATAACACAACACATCTCACTGAACCTTCATCTCGTCGTGTCATCACTGACTTCAGTGACTGTGACTCAAAATGAACCAGCGGAGCAGAAGACGGAGTCAGAGGCCGTCCATCATGGCCAGCAGGTCGTCTCCTTTGCTGCTGCTGTGGTTTTCAGGTTTCTCTTCTTCGTCTTCTTCTGCAAACTGTCCAGCGATTCGAGCCAGTTCAGTTGCCGCCTGCTCATCCTGAAACAAACCCAGACATGGTTTCTGCATTCACATA